TTTATCCGCATTGTGGATCCTTGTTTGCGCTCAAACTTACTTTCTGCAGTGCGGATGAAAATTGCCGGCATACTCGTGGAGAAACGTTCCCTTTTCCCCAGCGCGAATTATCTTCGAATTCCGCGTGCCGAGCGTCCATAAGTTTCGAAATCGTTGCGGGCGGGCGCGATGCGAATTTTAATAGAGCTCAGCTTCTCGACTCGAAAAGAGGCTCCGACGTTGATCATACGCCATTCGATAGCGTCGTAAAAAAAACAAAAAAAAAACGCGCGATTACTCAATATAGATACCACTGTGTCACTCGATGGTAAATTGAAAGTGGTCTATCGACCAACAATTCGACCAGCCCCGATAGACCATAGTTATATAATACTGAAAGCCCGGCGACGAGCACTTCGAATCATTAACCCGACAATGTAACGCGAATCAATTTGACCTACTGTCCTAAATGAAGTGACTAATAGTGAGCGTGGCAATGCGTTTGATAAGACGAGATTGCTTACTTTTAATTTACATACTTGATGCATACAATTTACATACTTCTACTAATTAGATATCTAAAATAACAGAGGAGGGATGGCATTCCGTTAAAACTAATATTTTTCATTTATCTCTCCCCTCAGAGACTTCTTCTTTATATAAAAAGCAAAGTCTGATATTTTCGCAAGATTTCACGTACCTTGTTAACGATTATTTTTATACTCGGCGCGTGAAGCGGCACATGCGGATCTTTCAAGAAAGATAAAAAAAGAACCAAGGAAAAATATGATTTTATTAATAGCTCTCTTTTCTCGATAATTCGTCTATTTTGAAAAAAACAAAATTTGTTTAAGTCGGATCTTCAAAGTCCTCCAATTTCCACGTCAATGCACTTTGAGACGCTCCGCTTTCGCGGGGCTTCGTCTCGACTACTTCGGGCGGATATCTTTTCGATTCCCGAGTCTTTGAACCCGCCGGCTCACGAACACGAGGATCTATCATTCAGATTCACGTGGCGGACCTTGTCGTACAAGGAAAGAGTTGTTATCCGTGACAGCGTGAACACCCCGACGGCATTGATTCTACCCTTCGCGGTGAAACGCCGGCTCCGGGTGGTAGAACATGAAAGGATAACGATGCGCCGGCGGGGGGAGACGGCACGGGGGCCGATCTACATCCTGCGAGGATTGTTCGAGGCAGCGGCGAATGCTAGTATCGTGTATACATTTGCCGACGTGGAGCTCTTCATCTCACGTCTCTCGCGCGCGCGCGCGTTCGAGTGCGAAGCTCCTCGAGGATGAGAGGAGCCGAGACGACTGTCGGCAGGGTTTCCCCGGTCTTTGCGATCTGTCTACCTACTATGATTCCGGGTGTTTTTTTCAAATACGAGATACGCGCGAAAAATATTTTTTTCTCCAAGAATCGATTGCTCTTTCACGCGCAGAGGGATTTTCTTTTAAAATTCACCCTAAAAATTATGTAATCGTGGGACATCTTTCCATTTTTTCCCCGGTTAATTATACTTAAGGTGGCTCCTGCACGAAGGAGCGGTTGGTATGGGTGCTTTGGTGAGGTCCCTTTAATTTTTATAAATTTATATGACTCTTTTATTTTAAAAAATCACTTATTGCATTATTGATCAGATGCATTGATATGCTAGGTTATATATGCACATTTAAAAACATATTTAAAAATAGGTGATATTGTCAAGTCTCAAAGAGCTGTCAAATTTCCTCGAAACATTGTATCTTTGGACTTTACTAATAAGTGTTTGCTTGCAGAGGTCGGTGACCTCATATACTTAATGGCGCATTTGAATTCTTGTGACATTTATTACGTTCATCTCGTTTTTTGTTAAAATCTACTTTTTCTATAAAATAATATTAATCTTCAAAGTGTTTCCGTCAGCAATCGGCCCGTAATCCCTATCCTAGTGAACACCAAGCAATAGTTGCATAATATCAATATTATAATTTCCTACTTAACAATGTAAATGTAATATAACACCCATATGTTATATTACATATGGGTAAGAAATTATAATATTGATGTTATGTAACTGTTACTTGGTGTTTACTGGAATGTTAAAAAATACAGCTTTAACATTTTTTCTTTATTTTATTTCATCAGCGACCGGGTCCGAAATTTCGCGTACTGACAGATAAAATTTACAATTGCAACACACTTAAATTGCAATTTTTTCTACTTTTGGTCGATTTATGCAGGAGCCACCTTGATATACGTGTTTTACTAGTAAAATTGTATGGTTAAAATTTTGAGAAACTTTCGTAAAGGTCTTCAAATTGCCATGTTATCCCACGATTAAATGATTTTCAGGATAAATTTTAACAGGTTATCTTTTGAGATGTAACTAAATCTAATTAAATGTCCTATCCGATCTCAATAGATAACAACATCGAATATGCAATAAAAGTGTCAGAACTCTGAAGGTCTGATGATTTTAGATTGGATATAATTAAATATTACATGATTGAGGCATATACATATAATGTAATTTTTCCATTTTTTCCTGGGTAATACTAGTAAAATGTACGGTAAAATTTCATAAAATTCTTCGAAATACCATGTTGTCTCACGATTAAATAATTTTCAGGGTAAATGTTAAAAAATTTCTCTCTGTGTGGAAATTCGAGAATCAATTAATGAGATAATAAAGAAGGCAAATTACAACGGAGAGGTGCAATTGAGGGAAGAATAAAATCCTCATATGTTGAGATAATTCTCGAGTCCTCAGAATTCCACCGTCTTTCCAGCAACTCGATGTTTGATGTTAGATTCCGCAAAGGGATGTATTTTATAATTTGCGTTTCTTCGAAAATTGCAATTTGTGCATTTTACGAAGGAGGGAGGGGGGATTCATCCCTCAATCCGATATCAGCACTTCGGCCAGCACGATGTTAATCGTTCAATATTACAGAGAAAGAAGCAATGCGGTAAAAAATAAATGGACGCGACGCGTCGAATTCCTGAGAGGACGGGAATTCCTTCGGGTATAAAATCCGGCTTGCCCTTTTCGGCAAACCAGCCCCTGTAATATTAACGCGGCTACATCGCTCTGCACTTTTCATGCGGTTTCGAGGGCCCTGATCGATGGCGAATGAATTAACGTTTCGCCGCGAAGCATCCCGACCGGCGATAAATATTCAGCGAGCCGTCTCAATCTTCCCTCGCCCTTCTCGCGAATTGTGCGCCTCTATCATTTATCAGTCGCTGGTGATTTATTCAGAGAACCCCGCGCAGATAGACCCGCGATAAGCGGAATGTGCAAACTGCGAGCAGTATTTATAGATACCTCAATGCCGAGCAAACTTGTAAAATGTTGCCGGCCGTGTATACGCGGTGCCGTGCAAAAATCATCATCCCGGCGCCCGGGCGGTTTATCATCATCGCGCTGTGACGGCGCGGTCGTTTGCGCGAATGTTGACTAATTACTCAATGGTGAAGCGAAATATGCGGTGTGTGAATTGCAGTGTGCGTGCAAGAAGTTGCGATTGTGGCCTTTATTTTACCGCTGTACATAGTTTCCCAGTATTTCGGTCGCTCATCGTCAATTTTAGATTCCGCAAGGTGTTGCGCCACCAATTTGTAGTTCGGGGAATTCGAGAATTCCGGCTCCTCCGAACGCAACAAGATTTATTCTTCGATCCGTCGAAATATTTACTCCGCGAAATATTTATTTTAGCTGCGTTTTATGAAGAGAAGATTTACTCCCGAATCCGTTGAAATATTCACACTTTGCGGACAACGCAACAATTTATTTCAACGACTCTGTCATTCGCCAATTTCAGATTCCGCGAAGTGTCGCGGTCCGCAATTTGTGATTTCGGAGAAATCGAGAATTCCGGTTTCTCTGAATTTAACAAGGAAATTCGTCCTTCAATCCGAAATATTTACTCTATAACGAAATATTAATTTAACACGGCAATTCATTTCGAACTGTCGATCAACGGAGTACCCGAGAATCTTCCGAAATGATAAAAACTTTATGTAAACGAAATATTAACCGGCAGAATTGCCGGCCAAGAGTTCCAGGGCTGCTTCGTCAATTGGATCATCAAATACAACCGCGCGCCGTCCCTTTCTTTTTTCCGGCATGAATTTTATTACAAAGTCCCTCAGTTCCTCAATCGATGGCCGTGTTTGTGGCGTTTTGTAAACCGGGAACCGGAGGAGGGGGGGGGGGGGGTAGTTGCCAAGATCGCGACACGCGCTCCCGGGTGTTTAACTTCCGAATCGCCGACAAGTTTACTCCGCGCCCGTGAACGATCCCGGCCGGGGGTGAATTTACGAGAGTCCCGGGGAAAGTTTGACTGGTCCATTAGCGAATCAAGTGCGAGTTAATTGGACGCCCGATGTATGGAGTGCGAGCCGCGAACGCGCTGTCTCGCGCCTGCAAAGCCTCGCGTTAATTATAACCGAAGGTCCGCACCTATATACAGCAGGAAGGAGATAAAATTGATCGACTATTCTTCCATCGGAGAACGACGTCAGCCAACGCTAATCGTCCTCGCTTTGCCATCAATTACCACTGCCGTCGGCCGAACTTGAATCGCGCGTCCCAAGTTTACGGAAACTCGCTGTTCCGAGACTTAGGCGAGAGATAAGAGGCTTATCCTCAGTCTTGTAATTACGCCGTATTATGTAAGCTAGAAAATCGGATCAACGACGACGTCGGAGGGCCGGGGGAAGACTCGAAGGAAAATCAGCTGTACTTATGCAATGCGGGATCAACAGTAGTTCCCGGGAGTTCAAAACTAAGACTCCACAAACGCGTCGAACTGCAGCAACGCGTGCGGCAACGAATCCAAAGATTTCTATTTCAACGCAGGAAGCTTGCGGCTGGAGCTTCTGATTGGTCGACTCCCATTGCTGCACGCGTTGCCGCGGCTCAACGCATCCATCGAGTCTTAGCTTAATTGTGACCCGTGCGCGATCCCTTTTTGCTCCTCTCTCGCGCAAGGCCGCGCGAGGGATACCTTCGGAACGCGGTTCGCGCTTACCTTGGTGTAAACGCCGGCGCTGGACAGTTCGTTTTCGATGACCATCATGATGATGCCGAACATGCCCATCACGAGGGCGTAGTCGCTGATGCGCTTGCGCTTCTCGAAGAGGGCCTTCCGCCTGCCCAGCCGGTAGCCGACGTTCGGCTTGTGTTTGGACCCGGGCCCGATGCTGCCGCCGCAGGACTGGCCCTTGAGGGAGCCGCCGCCGCCCAGCATGCGCTCGTCCATGTAACGGGGATACTCGGAGTGGACGCCCACGAGGGCGATGCCGGCGTCCTCGCCGGCACCGGCGCCCCCGGCGCTACCGCTGCCGGCAGCCGCCCCGGCCGCCCCCGCGCCGCCCCCGCCGGCCACCCCGCCGCTGTTCTTCATCGCCCCCGGGATCGAGAGAGTCGACACTGGCTTCCGCAGCTGGAACAGCGGCGAGCAGGAGGACGATTAAGATGGGAATATCTACGCGAGCGTCGTGCGTCGCTGCTGCGTGCCGTTAAAGCGTGCAAAAGCGCAGCCCGCGAAAATAACTCGTTCTTTCGCACCGCGTAATCCCACCCCGACTGGCCGTTCTTTTGCCATCTCGGTTTCAAATTACGTGTCAGAAATTCCGAGAATTCAATTTGTCTCCAACCGAGAGGGAAAAATGGCACAGCCCGCGCCCCAAAGTGCGACGGGATGCGCGAATTGCGTGGCGTTGTGTAAGTGAATCAAAGCGACGGATCCGAGTGTATTCGAGTCAAAGGGTTTATGTAGAAAGGTCACCGCAACGGAATCCTTTTTAAGCTGCAAAAATTTCCTCCTTTCTCCAAGTGTCCCTTTGCCACCCGAGTTTCTCTCGCGCGAAGAGATGCGTCGAGTCGCCTTCGGAAATTGAACGGTTTATCTCCCCACCGTAGGGCGACAATTTCGAGAGTGGTGACAATGGGGTTTCGAGTTTCCTTACGTACCGCCACGATTTCTTCCCGAAGGCGCGACGCAACGTCGAAATTAACTCAGTTCAGTCTCGATTTGTCTCAATGGCAATTAGGTACGCAATCCTGATTTATCGGACGAAACGTGGGCGGCCGCGCGAAATCTTCCCGCGCCGAGGACCCTCGAGAGGCTCGAGGCGGCTCGCGATCGATGAGAATTATTCCATCTCGCCGCCCAACGGCGATATACGAGTTAACGAGTGCCACGGCATGCAGAATTCCACATACGACGAGTCGGATTTCTCGCGTGCGAATCCGAGGGATGTGCGGGGAGTTCGTTAAAAAATGTACCGCCCCGCCTCGCGGAGAGAGAGCTTGGCATTCCTGTGTAATAAAGCGCGCTCTTAATCGCGTTGACCCTTTCAGCTACGCCGGCAGGTCGGTGATCGAGTGTCGGAACGGTTGTTTCGCGAGTTTTCTTTCTTTATTTACGTTTCAAGCGGGATTTCGGACGGTAATAAATAAACGCGAGCCGCGAAGATTACGGTGCGTACGGCATAAACGAGAAAGCCAGAATTGCCGTCCTCTTAAAAGCGGAAAAGGCTCACCCCGCCGTTTTTCAACCCCGTGCTACTAGCAAACTAGTTGACTACGCTGAATTACATACACGTTCCAGTAAGAAAGACTACACGGGAAAAAAATGCAGCTGCCATAGCTGAAAGCTGCATGTGGTAACTAAATGTTATGTTGTAAAATATGGACAGCTAATATTTAGCTGTGATAGCTAATATTTTGCTACTGTGCCTATTGTATTAGGTGCAAACCACGTTTGCTGTGGTTTAGAAATTTACGAGGGGGAAACCGCTGAGGGCATTGTGGTGTACAGATTTGCGACATTACTGGGCATTACTAGGCATTACTAGGTATTACTAGGCATTACTAGGCAATTTTTTGGGCATTAGTTTGGGCATTAGGTCCTGCTGGGGCATTATAAAGATAAAATAAGATAAAACAAGATAAATAAGATAAAATAAGATAATAAGACAAAGTAATGCCCATTGGACGTTAATGTGGTATACAGGATTTTGGTCAGCGGTTTCTCCCTCGCCTCGAACCTTCAAGAAAAGTGTCAGACAAAAGTAAACTGCTGAGGACATTGTAGTTTACATATTTGCGGCATTACTGGGCATTACTAGGCATTTTTTGGGCATTAGTTTGGGCCTTGCTGGGGCATTATGAAGATAAAATAAGATAAAACAAGATAAGATAAGATATTAAGATAAAGTAATGTCTACTGAGCATTAGTGGGCATTGGTGTACAAGATTTTGGTCAGCGGTTTCCCCCTCGGGAAATTTATAGTTACTGCAGCAAAATATTTTTAGCAAGTCAGATTTAGCTGCGGTAGCGAAAATTTTTTTTCAGTGTAAACATGCATTTTCTACTCTACACTCAGCCCTAAGTTCAGAGATGCTCTTTAGCCACGGCAGTAGTTTGACCTATCGTTATATCTAGCAAGTTAAACGCAAAATTAGATTCATACTTAGGGCTACTAATACCGAGTAAATGATAACACGAGCATATCTTTATAGTTTTATCTTATTAATAGAGTGAACTTTAACATGACGGGGAAAAACGGAGGGAAAAAAGAGCTGCAAGTTTTCAAGAGAAAAATTGAGCTACGCAACGTTGTAAAATGCAGGGGACGAGCAGGATAAATTGCGCCTTCAATGAAGGGCGACAATTGCGAAGTTTCGGAAATTATTATTTTATAATACTATTACATTTTATTTGACGACATTTTATGACAATAGTGAGAAGAATAAAATTAACTAAATATTGTAATGTAGAAAAACCCATCATTTTCATACAACATTTAATGGTATCAAAAGTATATGAACTTGTAAAAATTAATATTAAGAGAGAGAACTGCAATTTTTTCATGAAATTTGGTGGAATTGGTGAGACGCCCGTAAATTTTTCGCAATAAATTAGAAAATGGAAATCATTTAGACTTGGCTCTTATATCCTTTATTCCTTCGAATTGTCATTTCAGAGCCTTATGAATTTTATCATCTAAAATTGTTTGATTAGTTGCATGGCTTCATAATACAAGGTGATTCTAAAGTGCCAATGTCTTAACAGTTGATTTTTGAGATCATCTTGTGAAGAAAAATTCAAGTCTCGAAAAACGTTATTGTCGCAGTACATTCTCGCCCAACATTCTTTTTTTTTAAACCTTCTTTCGTTTAAGAGCTGTTAAGACAGAAACAATAGTTTTAGGATTTCTAACATCCTGATTTCTAAAAACGAGGTTCTCGTTTCCACATAAGCGTTTTTTCGTAAAACGAACTCAAAAATTAATTCTGAAGATATTAGACAGTACTTAAAATATTAGACGGTACTTAAGAAGTATCGTGTCTCTTCGAAACAATGCCCATCTGAATTTGCGCAATAATCGTGGCGCTTTTAAGACCTATTAAATACACTTTCCAACATTAATAACTGCAATCGTAATTGCACCTTTGGAAGAATTCCAAGCCATTTCTTTCGCGGAAACTTGGAAATCTTCTATTACTAGAGGAAAGTCCTTTATTATGCGATAGGCTCTTAATATGAAATGGCGGAGTTTCCGCCAAATTAATAGGCATTTTCCGTTGGTTCCACCAGTTTTTATAAATGTACACTCTTTTTGCACTACACGCTAACAAAAAGGACAAATTTTTACTTTACAACGGCGCTCGATCTATTTAACTATTTAATTGAGCAATTTCCGGACTGTTGCCCTGTACGTCAAAATACGCCTGAATGATTAATTTAATTAATCCCTGTAGCAGATGTCGCGAGGTTATTAAAGAGAACGAATGGTGCCAAACATCGTTGGGAGATATTACATTGTCCGATGCCCGCTGCGATACTTGGTCCGATCTGCCGACGCTGCATCACTCCCGTTTCTATCGAGGATCGAGGAAATTTGAGCGCACCGCGTCACGTGAACTCTCGCCGTCAACGTCCGTCTCGTATGCACCATCTGATTCCAAGCCCGCGTATCGGGTGCCACCGGGGCTGCGCTTACGGTCGCACGGGGCGCATGCACCTGTCTGCCAGTGTATGGGGGTCGCACGTACGCGGGACTCTATGCGCGCGACCTATCGATCCTCCGCTATATTTTCCGCGTGCGGTGTCGTCTATGAGAACGCGTGTTTCGCCAGCGAGTCAGAGAGACACGGTACGTGCGTGAGCTTTGCGTTCATTTTACGGTCCAGGTGCGCCGGTCTATTTACGTTCGATTTACGTTCGATTTACGCCCGCGAGGTGAGGTATCCTCGTGCTTTTTCCCACCCGCGGGAACGAACGAAAGCGTTGCAGCTCGAGGGAGCTTAACGGCGAATCGTCAGAATTCTCTCTGGCACGGCTAATTCCGAAGGAATCTCGAGCATTCGATTAAATTGCGATCTGCAAAGCTCGCGAGCTCCGTGTGCGCGTGGATTCTTCGCGCTCGCACATTTCGCTGTCCCGCGACATCGGTCGATTGTCGGCGATCAGCAGTGGGGTGGACAACAATAATAGTTGCCGGAATGCACCGGCAGCGAGATTTCGCGGAGCATGACCTCGTGACCTTTCTCATCCGGCCGAGAGGGGATGGGGAGGATAAGGGTGGAAGACTGTGTTATTGGGGGAGGACAGAAAGGGGGATGCAGAGACGGGGTGGTAGTCATGGAGACCGTCCCGAGAGGCTTCCTTAATTCAAAGCTTGATTGGCTCGGGCAATCTTAAACTTGTATATGCCCGGTAAAGTTCTCTCTTTCTCGCCTTCGCTCTCGCGATTGCTCACGACCGCGATAAAGAAACACACGGACTGCCAGCAGCCTCTTCCACACCATCTCGCTCCCCTCGAAACAACGGCGCGAGAGAGCACCATTTGGTATTTCCGAGCCGTTTCAACCCCCTCAGATCGAAGTTTAAAGTCGAAATGTTTAAACCGGAAAGAGTGCTTCCGCCCTCAAGAGGAGTACCGTAATGATTTAATTAAAGCGCCGTGCATCTTAAGTACAAATCTTAATCTCAAATAGGAATTCAAGTGGATTACAAGGTGCTGGAGGAATTGAAGGTCATTGATATAAGTGGTTTGATCAACGATATGCCCTTAATAATCGAATTGAGAATGACATTGTAACTTAATGTGTGCAATCTACGTTGCTCGTCACTTTTTGTTCGTCCCCGTCTAATTGTACTTTTTACTCCTGCCTTTCTTCTTCTCTTTGCCTCCACCCTCCCATTAGTTTATTACACTTTGTTATTCATATACGTAGCGTTACTTTGTCATCATTCTGAAAGGGACTGTATTCTCGCGACTCGGTTCCTTCCCACTGAATTGAATCGAATTAATTTCCTCTCTGAACCCTCCATCTATCCACTCTCCTTCTCCCTTTCCACCCGTCGACGTCTAATAAAGTCAACTTTCCTCCCGCGAAGCCGCAATCTTTCCGGCGACTTGCAGCTTCCTC